TCTCCAATAACAACAATATGACCTCTTCATCATCATCTTCCTTTTCACAAAAAAAGACATTCTGCATAAATGTAATTATTTGTTTGTCCATTCTAAACTAAAAATATTAAAGTAAACATTTTTATTAAAAATTATCAGAAAATGGGTATATACTTACCTGCAACATTAAAAAATATTGTATGTGGTACCTAATCTCTGGTATGTAGTTTACAACACACAACTATAGTTAAATAAAGAAAATAAACAAATACATAATATATAAACTTCAAAAACGAAAACAACACAAAATACTTAAAAAATGAAGAACAGACAACAATAATAATAATTATTTATTATAAAATGAAACTGAAACATACAATGACAGTACGGGAACCACCAAAAATAATAACACGCTAACGCCAAGAAATTACATACCACGGTTTAAAATTCAAATTCATGACTTTGGCGCGCACCTTGTAATCTATGCGTTCGGAAACATTTAAATATCTACCCGTTTTTTGAGTTAATCTGATATCAGCTGACAGTTATCAATATAACCTGAGTTTATTGTTTCCGTAAATGCCTATTTTAACTCATCTTACAGATGACGTTGAGCATTTTGGACCTCTTGATAATTTCTCATCTTTTCCCTTTGAAAATTATTTAGGCCAAATTAAAAAATTAATAAAAAAATTCAAACAGACCTTTGCATCAAATATATAACCGTATAGTTGAAGCAAATCTTATAGTAAAAAAATCTTCAGAGAAAAATTTCTGGAATTTTTGTTCCTGTATAATACAGGTCCTACTTTAAATTTAGATATAAACTTTCTTCAGTATAAAAAAACTTGTTTACAAAGACTTTGAACTAACTGTTAATTCATATTCTAAAGCAGATTGTTTTTGTTTGTTACCAAATAGAGTTGTTATTGAAATTCACAATATATGTATAAACAATAATAATAATAATAATAGCAACGCATATATTTTGCTTGGCAAAGAATTTATTATTTGTGAACCATTCTATGATTATCCTATAAATTCTTCGCTTCTTAATATATTTATTTTGAGAGGTTTATCTGATTTGAAGTTATACCAAATTAACAGTAAACCTATAAAATGTATAATTTTCCCACATTCAACTATGATACATGGATTTCTTTTCCATTATTACACACAATTTTAAAATAATTTTCTAGTACTTGTCTAGTACAACATTGCAAAAAAATCTTAAGTATGTTTTGTATTTGTGTCACACAGGTCCTACTTTAAATTTAGTTATAAAACTTCCTTCAGTAGAAAATATCCTCCCACTTAAAAATTATACCTAATTAATAGCTACCAACACAATGTTTACATACTTTTTTATTTTAATGAAATAAAATTTATAAAAAGAACTATTGACATTTTTATTTTTAGCATCAGTAAATAATATATAAAGGGATCTTTCAGGTTTCAGATATTATGTTACAAAATCTTATATGGAAGGTAAACTATTGATTGTTCTATTTTTTTGATTTTAAAATTTTTGTAAATATATGTTGAAATAATTTTAAAATAGATTGACGAAACAATCAATTTTTATATGGATATATTTTATAGTGCTCGAAATAGTTATTGCTGCAGCTTCTTTTTTGCTCCACTGTAAAATTCGGAAAATTACACCTCGGAGGTGCAAAAATATACTTGTTTTAAACGTCTATAAAACGTCAGTTGGTTAACGTAAGAAAAATGTTACTTTCTCGACGTATAAAAGTCGTCATTATCACGACGTAGAAAGACCGTACATAACATGACGTCAAATCGATGAGACAAATTCACGTGATTTGTAACGTCGTCAATACGTCAGAGAAATACGTGAATTGGTGATTTTTACGTTTTATCTTCGTTGCGAAAACGTAATTTGGTTGCCTGGGAATGAAGCAGCTCCTTCAACTATAGTCGATGAAGCAGGTCCTTCTAATTCAATCGATGATGTTGTATTGGGTAAATCATTTTATTTGCAATATTTTATTTTGATTTGATTGATTTGTTTATTATTTAGAAGCTTGGATTATAAAGTAGATAATACAGCTGGTATTGCTGCTGTTAAGTGGGCTGATGCCAAGTGTGTCACGATAGCCAGTTCTTCAATTTCAGATGCTCCGGTTTTCGAATTGAAACGGTATAGTAAAGAGGAGAAAAAGAAAATAAATGTCCAATGTCCCTAAATAATAAAACAGTACAATACTCATATGGGAGGGGTCGATTTGGCTGATATGCTAATTGCACTTTATAAAACCCCACTCAAATCACGACGATGGTATCTGGGAATGATGCCCAACATAGATATTGCCGTCAACAATGCATGGTTACTTTATCAAAGAGAATTGGAGACAATGGGTCAAAGAAAGGACTCTGCAGGTATTGTACTACAGGCCAAACAACTATTTTATGTGAAAAGTGCAATGTGCGTTTATGTATAGTGACTGGAAATGTTATTAGAAACTGTTTTTTAGCTTGGCATACCATACCAAATGTATTATGTGAGACACGATTAATATTTTTTGTAAACTAAATAAAAAATAATAGAAATTATGACAGCGCTGTATCATGAGGCCGCCTGCGGTCGTTCCTAAGGAATGAGTATTCACATACGTGCGCTCGTGTAAATTGGCTGCCTGTATTTTTGTTTATCATTTTCGTGCCTTACTGTTTAATATATTTTTTAGTGTATTCAATTGAGAATATAATTATATCTTTGAGTGTAATCTTATATTTTTAACAATATATATATATATATATATATATATATATATATATATATATATATATATATATATATTATCTTTCCTACAAACTCAGGCCACTAATAGTAAGATGAATGTACAATCCCGAACCAGCAAAACAATCCCGAGCCGTATATGTGGCTCGGGATTGTTTACTTCAATTTTCTACCTGAATTTCGCCTATCTATCTACCTTCCGTAATATAAACTTAAGTAAAGTGCTTCTATCTATCGTATGTAATAGTGATATGTTCATATTTAAGCCACCTATATTCAAATAGTGAAACACAAAGTTGGCTCAACTTTATACGAAAAGTCATTCTAATAGTTCCGAGGAAATCCGCATAAAAAAATATACAAGCGCTGATGTGTTGTTTTGTATATATTGTGAAATGAACAAACCTGAACCAGGAAATTTGGCAACACTGAACTACCTTTCCCGCAATTTCTAATGAAACAAATGCTAACCTATTAGATTTATTTGGGATTACCCTAACTAAATTTAGTCGGATAAGGTCGCCGTCGAAGACTTGTTCTATTTGTTTAAGTGAGTGTTAAATCAAGATTTTTGTCCTAGCAGATTATAAAAATAAGTAAAATGATATCTACTAGAACCCACAAAATATTGGCAATGAGCATAAATAATTCTTATTCGGGTAAGTAAATGACCTATTTAAATAAAACTGCTTTAGTAAATTTGGGTAATTAGTATAGGTAGTAAAATTCAACGTCTCATATTTTACACCCCCATTGTTCTTATAAGTAGAGTACTGATTTTTCCAAATAATAGACCGAATTTGTGGGTAAATTAAGTCATTAATGTGGCAAAAACGTCTCTGAAATAGTTATAAAAAAATATGGTCCAATAAAGGGCATTATAAAGTATTGTTTAAATTATGTAGAAATAGTCTTCATAAATGTTTCTACAAACTTGTCTAATGTACGGTTTTTGATACATTTAGTTAATATTTATAAGTTTATTTTTAAGATTTCGGATTTGTTACTATTGTGTTTCTTATTGGAAAATGCACCTTCACTAATTGCGCATAAAGGGCACCTGGGCCATTCCAAATATCGTTCAAGTAGTTACTTAATTAGGTCGCAAACAAATGAATGCGAAAACTGGCTTCATGTTGCATACTATACTTTTTCTACATCTACTGTGGAATATACATTTTTACAAGCTATTTCATATTTCTTTCAATATATTTTTGGCAGTATATTTAAAGTCACTTCTCTATTTCTGGTTACGTGTCTTCGAACTTATTGTTAATAAAATGATCCTACATTTTATATTATATACAAGGTGTCCCAAATCTAGGTAACCATAAGAAATACAGTGTATGTTAAGTGACACAAGTTTTACGTAAAAAGATTCTTAGTTTGGATCCATCTTTAAAATTTTTGCTAGTTTTTAAGTAATTTTAACAATATCAAAAATGCCATTTTCTTTCTTTTAATTTTATAGTCTTGTTTGTAGAGATATCAAAAAACTAAAAGTTCTTTCTCATAATAACTTTCCTCCCATGCAAAATGGCATAATTTGTTTTTGAGTACGGCGTTTCGTTTTTTGGGGCCATCATCAACCTTTTTTCTATTTGGACCTGATGTTTTTTATACTGAGTTCAAGAGAAAAAAATGCTATTTACAACTATGTGCCACATTTTACGTTTCGAGACTAATAATCATCATCACTTTAAAATTGGAAGATAGAGTAAGAACCTCTATGACAGCCATAAATCGAAATACTTTGAGGAGAGCCACGCAAACAGTTCTAAAAAGATATCGTAATTACTTATAAATAAAAAAGGGAGATCGCATTGAACAATGTAATAATTACTTTAACGTTATTCCTTCATTGAACTTCATAAAATAAAAAAAAGATACTGTTATTAAAATTCACAAAGAATTTAATAAGTTTAAATAAAAAATATAGGTCTGGATTTCGCTTATTTTATATCTTAACTGATAATAATTTTTAGGATCGAAACGACGTAAAATGATAAGTATGGCATATAGTCGTAAACATCATATTTTTTCTATTAAAATTGGTATAAAAACAGGCCCGTATTTAAAAAAAAGTTGATGATAGGCTAAAAAAGAAACGTCGTACTTAAAAATAAATTATGTCATAGTGCAGGAGAAAAAAGTACATACAAAGAAGTACTTTTAGTTTTTATAACTACACAAACAACACTATAAAATGAAAAAGAAGAAAATGACATTTTTAATATTTTTCAAAATTACTTAGAAACCAGCGGCCAAAATTTTAAAATTTTGAAAGTAGATCTAAACTAAAAATCTGTTTACGTAAAACTTATCTCATTTAACCAAGACTTTAACTCTTATAGTTACCGATATTCTAAATAAATTGAGCTAAACTAGCAGTAAACCTTTTTATTTTTTTTTTGTACAAATAACTACCGAGTATTGCTAATTCTATTAAAATACTTATGGTTCTCTTATCGCCTTGCATAAACTCGTCTTACATGATACCAATTTATTACAATAAAAGTATGGATATGAAAGCTGTTTTGTGAAATAGTCGATAGTTTCGACAGAAAATGTGAGATATAAAATGCGTAAGGTCTATTAAATTAGGAATGGTCCATGTGTCACTTATATGAAGTTAACGTATTTTTTGCACTTTCTTACAAATGAACAGTCTACTTTGTTATGTAGTTTTTTGTAGAATATAATTTTTTTTAAGCTTTATTACATATCGACATGAAATTAAGACACAAAGTTATTGAATGCTAGTACTTACTAGCTAGTTCTATAAAAAGAAAAATGTTCTATTGTGTAATTATTTTCAAAACAAATTTTTATTTCGCAGGAACTGTAGCAAGGTGTGATAATTCACGTTCCTCAAAGAGCAGTAATATCCAAGAACAAAGAGATAGTTGTCTTTTTGTGCAAGAATGGCTTAATAAAATGGAAGATCCAATATCATCACCATCTGAACCTTCAGGTTCCAAAATTAATATTTTGTCAAATGTGCTAATTTCTGAATCAAATGATGAATATTCAAAAATAAATGAAGATGTGTATTCCTTCTCTCCAGATGCTGAATTTATGGAAGTACGTTTTTTTTACCTTAATATATTAAAAAGCTTAATTTGATATTAACTATAAATTTTTTTGCAGCATTTTCAAACAATAAAGATGTCTCAATGCAAAAATGTGGTTAACTTTGATAAAGAGGATAATAATTCAGAAATTGCAGATAAGAAATCATTTACAACCATGATTAGCTCATCTGTTGAAAACAATTCTATCAAAGATCCGTGTTTCGTTCCTTCAGAAAGTGACCATGAACAGGTAATTGTTTATATCATTTCATAAATTTAATTGGTTTTACTAAAGTAGGTTCATAACTTTTTATTTATAATCAAGTATGTATACGTAAATAACTGGCTGGAATGTTTGATACTTGTTTCTTGAGTATTAAACATAGAAACGCAAACAAATTAACATACAAAATATATATTTTAGGAACCATCTGAAACATCCAAAATGGATACAGAAACTAAATCGATAAGTATTCCGATAATTACAACTCCAAATAACATTTCTTTGAAAAAACAGTTACATCAGGTGAATCTAAATCAAAATGAAAAACTTGAATCAGTGGAGACTGTGAAAAACAAAAACTATAAAGATAAACTAAGTTACTGTTTTTATTGTGACAAAGATGTGTCTCATTTTTCACGACACTTAATAACTTGGCACGCTGCTGAAAGCAATGTGCAAAAATTTTTAGCTTTACCTCCAAAGTCTAGAAAAAGACGTGAAATTATTTGCACATTAAAAAAAAAGGGTAATTTTATTCGTAATAGATCACAAGAAGCTATAAGACCTGTAAAACGAGTAAATGCTAACGATGCTTCTGAAAAAGAAGATTTTTTACCATGTCCCTATTGTCTGGGATTCTATAAACGAAAATGTTTATACCGCCATACAAAAAAATGTTCGGAGAATTCCAAACCTAGTACTTCTAGGCAAGCGGCTCAAAGTGAAGGACAAATAACATTGTTGTTAGGCAAATTTTCTAAATTTGATGAGCTATTAAATAAGGAACTTTTTCCACGAATGAGAGCAGACAAAATTAATTTAATTGCAAAAAAAGATTTGTTAATATGTCAGTATGCGTATTCATATATAAAAGGTCGCAAAAGCAAGGGCAATTTAGATTTTGTACGCCAAAGCGTCCGGCGTTTGGCAAAACTCCTGGATTATTGCAAGCAACAAGATGGCAAAATAAAACAACTCTTAGATGTCTTGAAACCTACTAACTTTACACTAATTTTAAATGGGGTAAATAAAATTGCAGCCTTTAATTCAGATAAAGATTTATATGAGTCACCTGTGCTGGCAATGAATTTTGGCACACTTCTAAAGAAATGTTGCGACCTAGCATATACTCACCTAATACAGGTAGAAAACACGAACCAAGAAAGAAAGGACATCAAAATTTTAAAAACATTGATAGAATCGCAGTGGGCAGATGAAGTATCAGCACAGGCTGCTGCGAATCTCAATGAAAATAAGTTTAATAAAAATGAACTGTTGCCTCTTACAAATGACTTAAAACTGTTGAGTTTATATTTAGATAAATCAGCGGCTGAAGCTTTCAATGGTCTTCAATTAAATAAAGATATTCATAATTACAATACTCTAAAGGATGTCATATATTGTCAAATAATTCTGTTGAATAGAAGACGACCTGCTGAGGTCGCTCAATTAAAAGTAAATACATTTAATGCAATTCATGGTAGTAACAATGAAGGTAATACTGAATTTCAAAACTGCCTTACTGAAGCAGAAAAGATTTTACTCAACTCCTACACAAGAATTGTTATTCGTGGAAAAAGGGGTCGGGGTGTTCCAGTTTTGCTGTCTCCGCTCATGCTAAAACATTTCAACTACATGCTTTCAGTAAGAGAAACATTTGTACAAGAAAATCCATATGTGTTTCACACCAGTGGAAAAGGTTTTATAGATGGAACCAAAATCTTGTACAAATATGCTTTAAAATGTGGAGTGCAAAAACCTAAAAGTATAAGCGCAACAAAATTAAGAAAGCATCTAGCTACCATTACGCAATTACTCCAGTTTAGCGAAAAAGATCTAGAACAACTGTCCCAGTTTATGGGTCATACTCTAAAAACACACTGCGATGTGTATCGGCTACCGGACAATATGTTCCAAACTGCGAAAGTATCAAAACTGTTACTGTTGATGAAAGAAGGTGGAATTGAACAGTACAAAGGGAAGAACTTAGATGAAATTGATGTGAATTTGGATGCACTTGTTGAGGAAGAACCACAAGATATAATTGGTAAAAATATGGAATGTGACGAAGAAGATATAGAAAATGAAGTGCCGTCAACCTTGTGTATACCAGAAAGAAAGAAACTTTGTAAACCAAATAAATCTGCAGTTAGAAACACTTGGACTATCAAACAGAAGCAAATATTAGCGGAAGTTTTTGATGAACATATTAGAAAAAAACGAGCCCCAAAAGAATATGAAGTACAAGAATTGATTGAAAAATACCCTGAAGAATTCGGCAATAAAAAGTGGACTAGTATAAAAGCTGTAATATTCAACATGTATACTGGAAAATTAAAAATGAACTTTAGCAATTAAGGAAAAATGTTAATTTAATTTTGGTCTTATATAACATACAATTTTTGTTTAATTTAATAATAAAATTACTTTATTTTTACGAGTACATTATTCTTTCTTTTTAACACTTCCAGTAACAATACTTGTATAAAAAAGAAAGTAGGTCAGTGAAATTTTATATGGGGGTATCGATTTTTTTAAGGGTGGGAACTTGAAAATTGGAATTGTAGCTACTTATCATAAATAAATAAAGATGTGTTTCAGGCTTTTTAGATTTTTACATTTTGGGGGGAGCGAATGGAAAGTTAAAGTTACAAACTTTAACTTTCCATTCCCTGGGAGTATTGAAATAAATAAAAATAAATAAAAAAATAAAAATAAATAAAAATATATAAAAGTAAATAAAAATAAATAAAAATAAATAAATAAAAATAAATAAAAATAACTAAAAGTAAATAAAAATAAATAAAAATAAATAAAAATAAACAAAAATAAATAAAAATAAATAAAAATAAATAAAAATAATTGAAAATAAATAAAAACAAATGAAAAAAAAATAAAAATAAATATGAGTAAATAAAAATAAAAAAAAATTAACAAAAATGAAAAAAAAAATAAAAAAATTAAGAATAAAAATATTTAAAAAAAAATACAAAAAATAAAATTGATACAAACAACATATATCTGGATGTGCCCATACCTCGACGTCCTAAGGGAAAACCTCTCTCGGACAGTTTGATTTAGTGAGTCAGTTCCAAAGCAATCTGGTGATATTAGTAGATGAGAGCCACCTCAAAAATGTGGTATACATCGAGATTCTTAATTAGATTATTAAACTTAATTATTATTATATTACTCTACTTAACTCTTAAACTATCATAAATTAACTACCATAAACTATCATAAACTATCTTAAACTATCTTAAACTATCTTAAACTATCTTAAACTATCTTAAACTATCTTAAACTATCTTAAACTATCTTAAACTATCTTAAACTATCTTAAACTATCTTAAACTATCTTAAACTATCTTAAACTATCTTAAACTATTATAAACTATCATAATCTAGCGAAAATTATCATAAACTATCATAAACCCTAAAAAACATATTGTCGCTCTTTTTTATGGACAGTCATGCATTTTTTTATATTAATATAAAATATTAAAAATGTTATAAATGTAGCAACAGGAAGCATACATTATATGGATGTGTAATAAATTTTCTCGTTCTCGTGATTCCGCGATACCTCATCACACCAAACACTCAAATTGTCACATTTCTTCATAATATAATACGTTTCAGCAGGTGATAAAGGATAAAATGTTAATAAGTACATAAATAAGTGACTGAATCTTATAGCTGTACACAATGCGCGGCAACATTGCTTGGCTCAGCTTCTAATGTATCGGTACATATATGAGTATATCTTGGCTCAGCATTGCATTATTCTACGATTGGCTCCAGATTGTATTATTTTTTTTGGTTACATACAAATCTTTTATTTACAAACTATTATTTGTATATTTGTGATTTTTAATTACGTCATATATAGCCTAAGTCTAAATCTGGCGGGAAAAGTATCCCAAAGTTGACAGAAACCGATGGCTCTGTATAGCATGTAAAGTCTAATGGCCTGACTTTGTTAGAAAGATGTATATATATATATATATATATATATATATATATATATATATATATATATATATATATATATATATATATATATATATATTTCAGTGTTTTCTTCCCCTATAAAATCACATTTCAGTTAAAATAATTTTCCAAATGCCGCAACTGATCGTGACCGATTAAGGGTTAATATTTCCAAAGAAGTGGCGAACAGGCATAGTTGGATAGGGAAGAAAGGAAAACTTATATTTGCTGATTTTGAAATTCTAAAAATTACTATAATTAGTTAACATATTAATTGATCTAGAGGTTTGAGCCCTTTAAAATATTACGCTGATACATCCACATAACGTAGTCCAAGCGATGTCGAAGACGATAGTTTTGAATTAACTAATAGTGAAGATAGTTATAAACCATCCAGCACCGACTTAGAAGAATCTTCAGAATTCGAAGGGGAACCGACTGAAGAATTAAGAAGGGAGCGTGATTTAGATGTAGATGCTAATGCTGCCGAACCTGTCCAAGAAAATGTAGCTGAAAATCTCACTGAAAAAAAAAAAGATTCAAACTCATGGAAGATCAATTTGCATAAAAATTTAAGATGACAAGGAAAAGAGTACTATACACAACAGAAAGGGAAACTGAAATCCGCTAAATATCGTCGTCATTATAACTGTCTAAAGTATTTTACAAATGATTAGGAAGAGAATCCAAAAATTTATAAACTCACCAATGTTTCTGACTTCATATCTTTAAAAAATAAACATTTTGTCAAAATTGTAGTAGCTGTCGAACATATGTCTTTAAAGAAAAGGAAATTGAAGATAGCATTAAGAAATTTTTGAAAAGCGGCAAAGAAAGGGCAGTGGCGGAAGAAAAAAAAATTAGTAATAGATACAATTTAAATGTTGTAGTTATGTAGTATATTTTTTATGTAATATACTTTAACGTCTCGGTAGCGCTGTTGTATCGAGCGGCAGGTATTCACTTACAGGCCTTTTAGTAGTCCAACAACACTCTGCTTGATATCCTATACCAAACCATGTGAATTTTTAATTAATTTGCATGATTCGTTGTGGGATTTGATGGGTGTCGTATCAGCAGTAATTCAATTTCTTTAAAATATGACATTCAGATTATAAATCGCTGTGTGTTACAGTTTCGATGATGGTGGATGGAGTTTTCTGGGTTTTCCTCGCCTGTAAGTAAGATAATAATAATAATAATAATAATAATAATAATCGACTTTATTGTTTTTAGTATAACAAGAATACATTTTTATAACATTTAATTTATACCATAAAAACAAAAGGCGAAGTTCAATTTATCTGGTGACGGATCACCAGTAAATTGTTCTTCCACTTAACCTGAAATGAAATGCCGCAAATCTAGTGCAAACAATAAAACATAATTCCTTAATAATAATAATAATCTGCCTTTTCTCTAAACAAAATTTAATTACTCATATTTTTTAATGTCTCAACGCAACGATTCATCCTTTACCGTTCAAATAAGAATTTTTTAATAGCCCTTTTAAATAGTTTTACAGTGTAAGTTTTATATAGTGCTGGGATATCATTATAAATAGAACATATTTGGTAAGTAAAGCTACGTCTAAAAAGTTCCAACCTGAAAAAAGGAGGGGAAAGAATACCTTTATATCTGACATTTAGATTGTGAACATGAGTCCGATATGTTACTTTTTTGTGCAAGTATGAAGGTGTCTTATTAACAATAATTAACAATCATCAGTAAGTCGTATTATTATTATTCTTAAGGGAAATATGGTCAATTATCGTCCCTCGGACGTCTTATAGAGCGTGAAGGTTCTTGTGAGGTCCAACAAGGGCATCTGTGTGATGTCCCGAAAATAAATCCGAGATGGACGAAAACGGGACATTAGAACGTCCATTGAACGTCGGATTGACGTCCTGGTACCAGAAAAGGATAGCCCTCGTACGTCTATGTGCTATGTGAGGATGAACATCATCCTTTCCAGTTTAGGGCACACTTTCATAAAGACAAACTATTTAGTTGGTCCATTTCTATAACTGTATGACTTTATTTTATAATAACCATTGGAAGACTGGAATAAAAAATAAAGACATTTTATTTCTTTTTATACATTATTTTAAATACAATTACACTACCTACCTATGTCTCACTTCTTTGAATGATGACATTTATAATATGAAGAAACCCATAGTTTTTATAAAGGATCGCATTCAGGATCGCATGTGCTGACAAGTAACATTAATTTTTTCCAGGTTGCTCTATTCCACGAAGTTGTCACCACATCAACGTTAAATTCTGTTTTGTGCAGCGGAGTTGTCTTATATATCGATGACAAAATTCAGTAAACCAGTGGAAGATGTGGATCATTTGCTTAAAAAATATACCTACCAACGATTGAACCCAAGAACCTCTGAACATAACTAGGGCGTGATTTCCTTTTGCGATTTGTTTTTTATGCAAAGGTGTATATTTTCCTAGATCAGTAAAACCTATGCACTTCCAGATTTTTTTTTTATTGAAAAAAAAAATTTCTGTTAATTCCATCTCATCTAGAAGCAAGCAAGATACCTGTAACAAAAGAAAGAGTAAGTTATTACTACTTATCTGATTAACGGTTCCTATATAGGGTGATTCGCTTACGATAGGGGTAGGTAGAGCAACAACGAGGTGATGCTAATTAACCTATATTTAATGAGTCTCTGATTCTTTATAACCAAGATTCAGGTTGATTTAGCTATATTGCTCAGTTCTTCAATTATTCATAACTTACGAATCACACTGTGCATTATTTAAATCTACTATACAGTGTGTAACAAAATAAGTGTAAAACATTTAAGGGGGTGATTCCTCATCGAAAAAAAGATAGGATCTTTCATATAAAGAACTTCATTGGAGCATTCCTTATTAAGATACAGCCCCTTAAAGGGGGTACATAAAAGATGTTTAACAATTTTTTTCACAAGCACTAAACAAGTTACAATATTGAAATTAACCAGACATTTTCTACTACCAAAAAGACACTTAGCCAGTAATTTATTTGGTTTACCCCATGGTTGTAAGGGGTGGAAAACGCAACCCCTAAAATTTCGTTCCAACGTAACTTTTGTCTTATTATCTGTTTACCATTTAAAAATTTATTTCCGATAGCCTATTTCATTCTAAACAAAAATGTCTCTTGAATTTTTTGCCCAAACTAAACCAGTTCGCAGCAAAAAATTATTTTACGAACAAGATAGATATTGCCATAAAACGAAAATACGAAACTAATTTATCTAGTAGGCCGCTATTAGCGATACTGACAATTACATTGAAATCAACCTGTCAGTTTGTAAATTTTTGAAATTGAAGTAATACTAATTGTGTATTGTTGTTCTGTTCGTAATTTGTTACTTTAATAATTCACTTGTTATTAACCGTTTCGCGGACAAGACTGCTGTAACCGTCATTAATTAAATCCTTGTTTGGGACATGACGGTCACAGCCGTCCACATTATTCTGAACGTTAGAACCAAGACGGTTGCGACCGTCGTTAAGTGTACCTATTTACCGATTCATATGAAGAGGTGTCCCATTATAAAGAATGTATAGAGTTGCTTTTATTGGAATTAGGTACTGTTTTCGTAAAATTGTATAATGGAATCGTCTGAAGAAATGCGTTTGAATGAAGTCGAGACAGATGAGGCAGAAATATATGAAAGTGGCGGTAATTCAGATGAATTTGCTCCAGAGGAAAATAATAGCGACGATTTAGATGAAAACACAAATAAATCTTCAGAAGACAATGAAAATATTGAAAGTAGCGATGACGAAGTTGAAGAAGATTGGCTTGGAAATACGAGAGATATTCTTGAATTTAATTTTAATATAAATTCAACTGGCGTGAAAGTTGATATACCTACCAGTACTCCCACTGAAATATTAAATGCTGTGGACCGAAAAAGTAACAAATCTAATACTACAGTCTACCAATAGTTATGGAAGGAATTTCACAAGAGAAATAAGACCACAAAGGAGATACAGTAGAAAAAGTTCTTGTAAAATTTTGAATGCAGAAGAACTTAAAAAATTTCTAGAGCTTTGTATGTTGCAAGGACATGTACATTTTCCATCTGTAAGAAAAATGTTTTCCTATGATTCACTTTTTTACCATCCAATATTTTGTGCAACAATTAGTGGAAGATGGTTTGAGCAAATCTTGCGATGATTGAGCTGCAAAATAGGGAACAGAAACGAAAGTCGTTTACATAAAGTGGAACAATTAGTCAGTTGCTTGGTATCAAATTTTCAAAGAAGAAAATATATGCTTAGATGAATCGCTGTTATTGTGGAAAGGAAGATTGCTATTTCGACAATATATGAAAAGTAAGAGGGCTAAATACAGCATAAAGTTTTACGAAATATGTAACTCTGACGGTTATGTGCTGAATGTTGAAATATTTCAGGGTAAAACCGTCGTAGATGAAGATGCTCATGTTCCTCCAAAATTACACTCATTAGTCCTTCGCCTACTGGATCCATATTTGAATAAAGGTCATCACGTATTTATGGACAATTATTACAACAGAAAAAATACACATTGCATTGGAACTCTTCTGGCGAACAAGCGAGATAATCCAAAACATGTTACAGGAGCAACACTTAAAAGAGGACAGCACATTTGGAGAAGAACATGAAATGTTTATGTATCTAATTGTAATTTTTTTGTGTAACAGTGATTGATATAAAGGTCTGGTCCATCTGTATCTGTTATTGACAAATGGGGGAGAGTGGTGTTCAAATTACATTTGAACACTCACGCAACATGCGACCACACAACAATTATCTCATACATAACACCACCTTTACACATAAAAATAAAGTCACACCTCTAACAATCTCACTAGCGAAGCCACGCCTCACGAAATAAAAATCAATAAATGTGTAACCAATCAGAAATAAAATACATGACGTAAGCTTAACCATTTCCATATCACGCAAGTGCGCTCTAAGTTTTTGTAAAGAGACACAACGAGTTGATCTGCAGACGCTCTATCAACAAGATGTAAAAGTGTTTATAGTTCTTCGGCAGTTTGCCATTATAATATGTAATCCATTTGTTTTGCCTGCATGGCACCATCGTTTTAAGCGTGAATAAATACGCATAGAGGAAGAGTGAGTTTTTATTTATGTTTCGTCCCACGAGTAAATAATGGAGGCCCCAGCGAAGTTCTGGGTGGTCTTTAGAGGCGCACTAGTACGTTAGTGTCGGCCACCTCACCTAAATGGTAGTCTGTCTTTCTGAAAAGATCACAGGCCGCCAACAAGTGGGTTGCTCACAGCACTTAGGCATCACTAGACCCAGTGTGCATATACCCGAATCAGTGAACCATCTCCCGACTCGTCAGCAAGCCTAAACCATGTAGTTCATGACGTCACCAAGAGATTTTACTCTAGACCGTCTCCAGCCTACACCATATAGTAGATGACGTCACTAAGATGAGTCTCTCTGGGCCGTCTTCAATCTATAATATGTAGTTGATGACTTCTCCAAGAGACGCCACCCCGATATTTGCAAAGCCAATTTCTAAAAAATTGTATTGGTACTAAGCAC